AAAAAAAAAAAAAGACAAAGGAAGTCCTCAAATCATCAAGACAAAAGGAGGACAATAAGTATGTAAGGCAGACAATACCCAGAAGACATTTGTACAACTGGTTACATGTTGTTAAGACAGGATCTAAGGGCTGGCCAAATAGCTCAGCGGATTAAAGCACCTGCAAGCAGGCGCAGGGGCCAGGGGTTCGATTCCTAGCTTGCTATGCCGGCTCTGCCCCCGTGGTGCACTGAGACGGCAATTGACACTGGACTTGGCGGCACACGCCTGTAATCCCAGCTCTTGGGAGGCTGTGAACAGGCGGATCACTATGAGTCCGATCTAGTAGTGAGACCCTGAACACCCTGTAGACCTTCCTTAAAATACAAAAAGCAGGATCCAGCTGTGTTGGCCTCAAACTCGCACTGATCCTCCTGCGTCAGCCTTCTTTATTGCTGATATTACAGATGTGCCACCATGTCCAGCTACATGGTTCTTTAAAAAAACACGACAGTGACAGCCCTCCCATGGTGAAGGTGGCACTGTGGAGTGACGTGATGACACCTAGGCTGCCGGGTCTCCTTAGGGTGCCAGCTCTTGGAACCTGCTTAGGCCTCAGAGAGCCCACAGGTCCATGTGGCAGCCGACAACCCCAGAGGTCTCCATCGCAGCCAGCCATTGCAATTCCTGAGGGAGGACTGGCTAGCTGTGCCCAGGTGACCTGAGCCAAAAGGCATAATACAATTTCTGTTTCTGCTTTATTTATGTTTGGTATCTTAAAGACAAAGATCTATGTAGCCCGGGCTGGCCTCAAACTTCTGGGATTCTCCTGCCTCAGCCTCCTGAGTGCTAGGGAAGACAGGCATGCACCACCACGCCCAGCCTGTGTGGCTGATGCATTTGGCAACAGGATTGAGGTGCTTAGATGCAGTACTGTGTAACACAGAATAATGCATGCTGCACAGGTTTAGGGTGTCGTGGCCACAGGAGGCTGGAGGAGCTCGGAGTAGAGTTAATGGCAGAGAGCGCTACCAAGCAGAGAAGAAGTGACCCATCCTGTGTAGGGGGAGATTTTGTCCACACTGATGCCCATGACAGCAAAGAGAAGCGTTACCCAGTGAAGTCAAGGGAAGCGTCAACAAAGAGACGCATTACCTCAGTGACCTAGTAAGATTTCAAAGCAGAGTAAGGAGCCAGGTGTGTTGAAATCCTGACTCTCAGGAGGCTGAGGCAGGAAGATTGCGATGAGCCCGGATTACATAGCAAGACCTTGTCTCTTTTTGGGGGGTGTTTTTTGGTACTGGGGATCCAACTGAGGACCTCACACTTGTCAGGGAGGTACATTGAGCTAAATCCCCAGATGAGACCTTGTCTTAAACTAACAAAATACAGAACAAAAAGCTTCTACCTTATGGGAAAAGCAAGGTACGTACAATGGACGAGTTTGGGGATTTACATTAGGCGCTCATGGCTTCGAGTTCTGCTTTCACACGATGCCTGATGCCCAGACTACAGTTGTCAACCCTAGCAGATCCAACATTCTGCAGTCACAACCGACTCCAGGAGCAGGATTCATGGGCCATATAACCTGCCTCAGCTCTTATCTATTTCGTTCTGTTCTTACAGAGCTGGAGATCAAACTCACAGCCTCACGTTTGCTGGGCAGATGCTCTTGAGAAAGGACACAGGGCTACGGAGGAAAGGGAGTCGGGGCTCTGCTCATCCGGGACGCTGACCAGAGGGGCAGCAAGGGCCCTGCGGCGCTGCGGCTGAGTCCAGAGATGCAGACTGCAGGCAGAGCTGGAGCTGCAGGTGAGCTCTCAGGTAGTGAGACTGAGGCCTTTGGAGTGATTTGGAAATAGGAAGCTGCCATTCACGGCGATGAGCGGAGCAGGCCGGGGTGATGCAGGAGTTCCGCTTCCCACACACTAAGCCCAAAGGCCCCTGGACATTTGCGACATCCAGCAACACGTCAGTTTGGACCCACAGCGAGGCAGAGGGGTGAAAAGATGTGACTGCAGCTGTCTGACCACTTGGGCAGATGCTACGCGAGGGCCCTTCCAAAATGCTCTGCGGCCTCTCTGGACACCCAGGACCTCAGGACCCACCCTAGACTGGACCACCCTGGAGCGGGGAGGCGCTGGGACCCCTGAGTTCGCAGCCCTGTTCCCTCCACGCACTCCTT